TTTTGGTGAAGTTGACTTCTACTTGACTAAACATATAGGGTGGAATTCATTGGTACCTACTCACTCAGATCATAATAATAATGAAGATAATAATGATGATGTGTTCACCATCGGATACAACATGAACACGTGATTCTATATAGCAAGAGTACCTCACGATGAGATTGCTTGAACTACCGGGTACCACATATTTGCAGAATCAAATGCATCATGGTGTCGTGATAGTGTTATTTCAGAAATCGAAATACATCAATTTTAGCATCATGAAGGTGAGGGATCGAGTCACCCTCAGGGATAGCTATTATGAGAATATGTTCATTGATTCTGTATATTATTATGAGGAAACAGAAAAGGTGACGTATTCCATGAGTACAAAATATTCTTCCAGATTCCGTGACACTCCACCGTAAGCCACGTATAGTTTTCCATTTTCAATCAATGAATGTGAATGATTTCAATATATGACACCAAGATAACAAAACAGTTCATGAATATATGGAATGATGTTTATTAAACATTGCTACAAAATAAAAATATAAGTATCATTTCAATATATGTGTATTAGGACAAATCAGAAATTTGACAAAATGCGTTCAACAAATTTTATTATCAGGGAGCATAAAAGGACAATCCAATACAATATAATACAGTCGGTTATTGCGTTGATCGATTTGTTAGGTCTTTGGGCGTTCTACCAGACAACCCGAATAGCTGAACAGGACACACGTGTGTCAAGAGTGCTCCCGTAAATCATTAAAGAACTTGATTAATAACTAGAAATTTACTAAATTCGTGAACTAATTATATCAATAGTCAAAGCAAATTAGTTATACTTCACTCAACCAATCAGTTTGAACTATTCGCAATGCCTCTCACTCGAGAGCAGTTGGATGAAGTGAAAAACGCTGCCCGATTGATAATGAAGAAACTATGCCAGGACCAAACATTCATAAAAACGTTGATGGATTCCGTTTCATCTGATATCATAAATATTTTGGGCAAAAAACTCATCTTGCCTGAAGGAAGGGTACACAATATCAAAAGCGACATGCAGTCTATCAGAGTTCGTCACCAAGAAGAAATATAAACACTGTCTAGAAAAGTAGAACTTCTTGAGAGAAAGGATCTGGAATTCCCAGGGAATGCCTTTCATACAGTGCGAATAATGGAGGAGATTGAAGAAATAGTACGGAGAGAAAATAATATTTTGATTATTGGCGTACCTGAAGGAGGATCTGACCCAGTTCAGTTTGTACAAGAGTCACTTACAAGAACTCTTTCCGATGTCAACTTGATTAGCCCACAGATATTCCGATTAGGTAAGCGCGTCGATGGAAAAATCACGACATATCGAAGTTACACTACCTGACAAAACATTATTCCTATCTTAATCAAAAACAAAACAGAATTCCAAAATATTGATAAGTTGAAGAATGTGTACCTGTGCCCGGATCAGACTGTAAAACAACGCGATCATTTGTGGACTGCGACGTGTGTTGGCAAATAGCCAAAGCAATGGAGAGACCAACCTCTTGATGACATACATGAATGGATACCCTTCAATCGTGAAAAAAATCTAATGAGTACATCCCATGGGTCACTGAAGAATATTCATGCAGATGAACTTTCACTTTGTTATCAAAATTGCAGAGGCATGGATACGAAGACTCATATATTCTTTCGAAATTGGTTAGCAAATGAGCACAGTATTGTTGCCTAAACGGAAAGTTGATTGCACGAGGATTTATATAGCTACTTTTTTCCAAATCATGCAGTTTATCGTAAGGATCGGAGAATAATAGGAGGTCGAGTTGGTGGGGTGATATTAGCAGTTGATAATACTCAGTACAGCTCAGAACCCTTAGAGATAATTCGACCAATAAATAAAATAGATGTTGTGGGAATAAAAATATGGGAAAATAATTATACAACAGTCATCATCGTACTAGTCTACATACCACCAAATTCATCTCATGATGAACTTGATAAATATCTCGAATGCTTGGGAAATATTCAGTGTGATATTATTTTAGGAGATTTCGATATTCTTGAGTCATACAATTTTTATGATACGAAACTCCAAACCAACCTTACTCTCCGCCTCAACAACTTCCTGAACTACTGTATAAATAACACAATAATCATTTGCTCCTCAAGCCCAAAAAGCCATGGCAATCTTCATGAATATCTCTTGTGAATACATCAGTTTGGTATCTGTTAGTTTTGACGAGCCGTAGGAGATAAGTTTTGGACTGATGTCAGAAGCGAAATTGAAGTATCAGGCTGGAGTATGTCAATAGACGAATATTTCCAGGAAGAATAGTATAACAAGTTGTATTCGTATGAATATTTCATGATTGAGACAATGGACGAGCACCTCGCGAGATTCGCGCACACTGCACGTAGGGGAGGCAAAGAGGCTAAATAGGGATTTACTCGAGCGTGGTGGAGACGTATCAGATTGTGAAGATTAGATGCGGAAATGAAAAAAAGTTTATATGATATATCACCTTCCACTTTTGGGAAGAGCGTCTACAGGATTTCGAATATGTTGAAAAAAACAGTCTCATAGAAATTCTCGAACGCATCAGATATTAATAGTGTATGCGTCCCACATGTTACTGATAACCGAAAAATATTAATCTACCAGTTTGCATTATGGGGTGGCCGTACGAAGGGATAGAGAACAGGAAAAAAAAATAATTCGTGCGCGTCAAATATTTAGAAGGGACGTTGAGGTCATGATCAATTTTTCAAAATGAAAAAAAAAATCTTGACCTCCAAATACTCGGGCACGTCAATTTATTAAACAGTCGCTTCATCTTGATATCTTTGTCGCATCGGCCCATAATCTGACAATTATGTAGAGGAATTACCTAAATCTGCCGGTTGGAATATGTTTTGTTAACCGAATGTAATAACTAAATCATAAAATATACAGAATGAATCAGTTTTTTGTAGCAAGACTTCAACAGCTAAAAGAATTCACAATTTTGTGATGGAAGGCTCATGTAGATATACATTGTGGACTAATAATGTAGCAAAATGAGATAACGGCTTTGCTGTTCGAGATATTCTTGATATGGTCTTGTCTAATAAACAGTACATTCCTGAAATATTTAACGATATACAGGGTTACTTAGAACTTACTAATCCAAGGTTGATGAAATCAGCTCACAAGGAAGAATTTAAAAATTCAATGAAATACAGGGTATGTTCCATAAGAAAAAGTATAACTTTGATACGCCACGCATTTTTGTGTAACCCTGTATGAAGCTACTGCGGCTTGGGCAAATGGCAGATTATGTCATTTCTGTGATCCGTGACTAATTGCCTTCAGAATGAGAAAAAAATTAACGGCACTTGAGAATGTACAGGTAACGATTTTTTTTGCAACTTTGTAGCTCCCCCATTTCCTTATGTCACGCTCAAATCGTCAGATTATTGAAATGCACACTTTTCTGCATATAATTGATAACTTAATCTGACGCGCTCGAGTATTTCTGATGATCGATTTCTTTTTACTGATTTGATCGACTGCCCTAAACTTTCGACACCATATAAAGGGCCCAGGTATGGTGGGAGTACTCCACAAGGTTCAAGCATACCCCCCCTGATGTTAATCTGCCGCGCTCGAGTAAATCCCGAAATCCCCGCTTGGCTATTACAATCATTCTGGCTTTCAATATGATTGAGGTTTCAAATGACGAAAATTCAATCGCCATAAAACGAGGTCGATTGGTTACGTGTGGGTCAATTCCGCTTCTGTATTGGTAAAGCACATGATTGTAGAGCGAGTCCGATGAAATTTAGTGAACAAAGAATATCGCTGTACAGGAGAAACCGACAAATTGGGCTGTTCTGAGTGGTTCCCAAGAAGAAGAGTGGAATAGTCCATGAAATAATGACTGTAACAATCTTACACTACACTGTTTTAAAATCTTCTCCTGAAGATGCTAACATAGTTAGCGAAACACGTGTCGAGGCGTTAAAAAATCGGTTTGGTTAGTGGTAAAACAGTGTAGTGTATTATCGTGCCAAAGGTTCCAGTCTTCGATATATGTAACAATCTTGACAGATACAACTCGTTTCATTGATTATTATCAAAAGTTCCATCTCTCTTTCGAAACAAATCATGTTGCTTGCTTCAAGCAACATAATTTGTTTCTTAATATACAAGGGATTTGTATGTTGGTAATCATTGTTGGAAAATAAGAGACAATGATGAAAATTGTACACATTTCCATTCTGGGGCATCAATAATGAGATATCTGGTACAGATACCTCACTACACAGATTCGAAAGCTTCAATGTTCGATGACCCAAAATCTGTCACTTTGAAGAACACTACAATAAAGATGGAGAAAAATTTATCGCTGTCTTCACACATCACCCTCTGACCTTTACTGGAAATACATACTTGCACTACTCGCAGAATGATTATATATAGTATATCTGTGGGATATTCATAATGAAAAGAAATACTTATTCATTGACGGATTCGGCGACGCAGATAGATATCCATTCAAGTTCAGTGATGAAAGTGGATTAGAATGATTGAAACAGAGATTGATATCTATCTTTGTGGAAGTAATTATCCTTTGACACCTTGGCCACGTTGCACTTGCGCATAAAAATTGATTTTATGCGAGACACCTACTTTCTGCATCTGTACAGTTGGGTGATATGTGGTTTTGTTATCGCAGGTGCCAATATTTAAGTCGATTGTGATATTGTTTCTCATACAGGGTGTCCCATAAACATACCGACAAACTTTAAGGGATGGTAGAGGACATCAATATAAACATTTTTGCTCGATAACATAACATAACATAAAATGTTCACACCCTATAATTCGAAAGTTAAGAGGTTCAGGGAATATGTTCATATGTATTTTTCATCTTAAAATGAGCTAAGGAACCACATCCTATATTTATAGCCATCAATTGAATTACACCATGTATTATTCTCAATGATATCTTGCTTTCATTATTTTTCAGATATTTGGTCTTTTCCTGGGTTACGAGACTCGATCTCTCAAGGTGAAGCAGATCAACGACTCGAGATACGTCGGTATGAGTATCTACAATGTTGTTATCTTATGCCTGATAACGGCACCAGTCACCATGGTGATTGCCAGCCAACAGGATGCCAGTTTTGCTTTTGTTTCTCTAGCTATAGTCTTCTGCTGTTTTCTGAGCATGGCTCTCATTTTTGTGCCTAAGGTTAGTATGTGGATATATACATATATATATATAATACCACGAAGTGAATCGTTATGGTCATTTCAGAAATATCAAGGAATGGCTGTCGATATACCTAACATCCGATACAAATGTGCATCTTGATGTTTCAATCAGGTTGGATTCCATTGGGAATTCCAGAACTGAAATGAACCTACTAGATTATTTCAACATAAAATCATTCGCGAATGACTAATTACCTGAGTGATATTTGTCAAACTAGCGGAAATGGAGATTGAACGACTCACTTGTCTTTTACACATGCTGATCTGCCTCTATAGATTCTGACTTGAATTCACTGTTTGATATATCATGAGCTCAAGATCTAAAACTCAAGTCCACGAAATTTATGATTATATCATTAGGGCCTCAGAAAGTTAGAGATTATGTTGAAAATCTACTGCAAGTAAGAATAAATGACAACATTCTTCCCATCTTGAATGAGAGCAAAAATCTAAGGCTTTGGTTGGATTCAGATATGAGATTTTCGAAACATATCAGCTAGTTATGTCGATCATCATATAATGTTTTGAGGCACTCATATCCAAACCGAGATATCCTCTCTACAAATCTGAAGCTTGAATTTTGCGAATCTTTGATATTCTCAAAATTATCATATTATGAGAGATGGTCCTGCTTTATTCCAATGTGATTCATGTCCCTTACAACGTATTCAAAATTCTTGCCTGAGGTTTTCATACGGAGTACGAGAATATGATCACGTATCTGCTAAGATGCATGACTCTGGATGGTTACGGTCAAATCAATCAAGGTATTTGCATTTGTTAACTCAGGTGCATAAAGTTCCAGAAAAAAAGTGAACCAAGTTATCTCCACAGAAAACTAAAAACTTCCTCAGATCTCAACCAAATTTCCAGTTGCAATAAAACTACTTCTGTGATCCCGAAACATAATTCTTGGAACGCAGTTCCTCTTATACAGCTAGCCAATATAATAATCCACTTTACATGAAACTTAGATCTTTAACTCTCAGTGACTTTGAGAAGATATTGAAGCTTGATCTTCCAGCCAGGTAGCTTCTATTACAATGAAAAATCTAGCGAATATTTTCTGACGATACCTTGTTCATTCAATTCTCAATATCACACTCATTTTTCATTCGAATTTTTCAATCATTTCTTTCTATTGTATACTCATAAAATATACACTCAGTTCCAAAGAGAGTGACGCACTTGATATTTGACCTATCTTCTTAAAAAAAAACAAAAAATAGTAGGCCGATTTTTATTTTTTGTTATTCGTTGGTAGGTTATGCATTTGTCTTTGAAAAAAAATTGAAGAAGTGCGAATTTTTTCAAAGCCTCCTTGATGATGGTGGAATAACTCGAACCATGATTTATTCTTAATTTTTGACCCACCCCGTGTGTTAATTGGGAAATGGCATTGAAAGTGCTTCCTTCATTTATTGATTAATCTCTGAAATTTTTCTAATCACAGCTTTTTTGCTGAATCCTTGCAGATTACTAACTTTCTGAATTCAAGAGAAACAATTTAATAATGGAATAAACTGATACCAATAAATTTGAAAACCATTTTTATTGAACAGAAAATTATAATTTGGGATGACTGCTTAGTACCGTGTATTGCCTCCTCTAGCAACTCTGAGAACTTCTAATCTACGAGGCATACTGGAAATCAAGTTGCTTATCGTTTCCATTGGTATACGATCCCATTCTTCCACTAATGCATCTGCTATTTCTGCTAAACTTTCCAGAGACCTCTCGCGAGAACGTACCCTTCTCCCTAGTTCATCCCACAAATGTTCTATAGGATTTATATCAGGGCTTTTCGCAGGCCATTTTAATGTGGTAATACCAGTAGCTTCTAAAAAGTTTCGCACTATTGCTACGGTGTGTGGTCGGGCATTATCCTGCATCAATATAAAATTATTGCCCACTATCTCTGCATAAGGTGAGACATACTGCTCTAAAATGTCAATGTAAATTCGGGCATTCATCGACTGCCTCACCGGAAAAATATGAAGACATTCGACCATTCAGGAATATTCCACTTTCCATAATTTTCAACAAAATTTCTTCCAGCAGCACGATGTTCGGGCAATAATTTGGGACCTTCTGCAGGTCTCCTAGCTTTCAAATTAACTTCTTTCAGACGTCTACATACCACCTGCTTACTTACTGCAACATCACAAATTTGGCGAAGATCTTGCTGAACATTTACCGCAGTATTTGATCGATTCCGTAAAATCCGCAATCTCAAGAAGCGATCATCTCTTGGAGAAGTTTTTCGGGGGCGACCAAAACCGACCCTCCGAGCGGTGCTTCCTGTTTGTTCGTACTTGCGGATTGCTCTACGAGCAGTTGCATCATAAAATCCCACTGCACGAGCTGCGTAACGTTTACTACGCTCATCGTTCACTAACACAACTGATCTTGCTACTTGTTCAGGATTATTGACACAACGACAAATAGTGAAATATGGAGGCATACATCAAATTAGTTGCTATGGCAACGGCATTTGTTTTTTCAAAGGCGATGTGATCCTACCAGAGTAAAACCCAATCAATTTTGAGTACTCTGATCCTTCAATAGATTCAATTTGTGGGATAAGCGTGAGGTATCTGCAAAAAAGCTGTAATTCGGAAAATTTTAGAGATGAAGCAATGAATAAGAGAACAAAATGCTCGCAACAGAAGCCCCTTTTGTATAGGGTGTGAGCACTTTGTGAACCATTACTCAATTAACACACAGGGTGAGTCAAAAATCAAGAATAAATCATGGTTCGAGTTATTCCACCACATAACATCCAATGTACTTAGATTGATATTATTAAACGACGAGATGCGAATACTTTTTCATTCTAGAAATAATTGATTGAAAACTTCAAGAAAACCAATAAATCATTTCAGGTCATATCTCAAAAAATGCTCGCTTCTATGGAAACACTGAATTCTTCAGTGTCAGAGGCATTTAGTAGTAAGACAGACATGAAAATGTTGTCTTTAGGCCGGTTCTAGGTCATGGGTTGTTACATACCCCCCCTCGTGTTCTGCTCTCGACCTGACGAAGAACTACGTAGACTGCTACTACCATAGCATTTGCGTGGTCTGCCCCTTTTTCGAATATCCACAACTGGTTCATGTTCGGTAGCTCCGTGGCAGGGTTGCAGAGCGTTGGTATGGTAAACACCTAATGGTTCATCCAGGAAATCTGGAGCTGCCACCAAATAACTTACGGGTGACACCACTTTGGTTACTACATATGGGCCATATCACGCTTTGGGTCAAACTTTTTCGTAGTTTTTCTAGCTGTAGAGCTGTGGGTATGAGTAGTAACCCATACTTGATCTCCCTCTGCATATTGCGTGACCTTCCTGAGCTTTTCATCAGCATACTTCTTGTGTCGATCTTGCTGCTCATCGTGAATAGTTCTGGCTTCCTGCCAAGTGAGTGCCATACGTTGCGAACAGGTAGTTATCTGTGGGATAAAATTATCCGAATTTACGATGATTCGTAAGTCATTCTGGATTTCGTCTAGAGTTCTCAGCTCTCGTCCGAAAGTGAGGTAGGATGGAGTAGAACCCGCACTTCCGCATTTGGCAGTGTTCATGGCGAATCTGATAGTAGGTAACATTTGGGGCCATGTATTATGTTTATTCTTCACCAGCATTGCAAGTCGTGGTTTCAGGTCCCTATTTTTTCGCTCAACCATGTTTGCTTCTGGGTGATAAACTGGACTGTTTCACATCCAGTAGAAAACAGACTTGCTGCATCACCTCTGATATGAATTATACTCCATTATCAGATATGAATTTTCGTGGTATCCCATACCTCAAAAAAACTTCTTCAAGGAGGACTTGAGCGCATCGCTCAGCAGTTGCATTTTCCAGGGCAAACAATTCAACCCACTTGGTGGAAATGTCCTCTACTATGGAAATTCATCGTTTTCCATCCTTGGAAGTAGGAAGGAGTCCAAAGAGGTCTATGGCTAGCGTCCCAAAGCGCTGAGCGAAAACAGGTGTAAGTAGTAGACCTGCAGGTTTCTGGTTGGGGGCTTTATACCTCTGACATTCAACGCAATTTTTGATATAATCGGCAATGAATCCCTTCATTCCGGTAAAATAATATCTCTTTGCTATTCTAGCATAGGTTCTTTCGACTCCATAGTGGGCAGCTGTTGGGCTGTCGTGATACTCCTTCATCACTCTCACCTTCTCCTGAGCTGGCACCACTAACTGTGCTTCTTCGCACTCTTCGTCCCAGGAATACCTGTACAGTACACCACTTGACATGATGTACCCTCTGTTGGTCCACTGGGTGATGGTATCATCATTGAAGGTCTCAAAGCTTCTGATAATCTTTGAGACATCTGGATCCTTGAGCTGCTCAGCTCGAATGTCACTAGCTGATCGACTAGGAATTTCAATGGCAACCAAGCAGATATCGCAAGTAGAAACGCCATCATGATCACAGGGTGGTCTCGACAGGAAATCAGCCATGACGTTGCGCTTTCCACTTATATATTTCATATTCAGGTTGCAGCTCTGAATTTGCAGTGCCCATCTGGCTAGGCGTCCTGTGGGAGATTTGAGGCTCAATAACCAGCGGAGAGGTTGATGGTCGGTAGACAAAGTTACTTCAGACCCCTCGATGTAACCTCTGAATTTATCCAAAGCCCACACCACTGCAAGAGCTTCACGCTCGATTGTGGAGTAATTTCGCTCTGGTTTTGTCAAGAGTCTGCTTGCATATTCTACTGGGTGTTCTTCTCCACCATCACCTTGTACCAGCACGGCTCCCAAGGCATATGAACTAGCATCTGTTCTTATGGAAAATGGTTTGACCTCATCTGCTTGTTGCAATACTGGGGCTGTCGTTAGCAAATTCTTCAACGTTTCAAAGGATTTTTGCTGCCTATCTGCCCAAGTCCAAGCAACATTCGTCCTTGTGAGCTCGCTGAGAGGCCGAGATATTTCTGCAAATTTTTTTATGAACCGGCGAT